TGGTCCTTTTGGGTTGCCTTCACCATAGCAACTTGATAGGATGATTTATTAAGAGAGAGTAAATATTATTAATATATTATGAGAATAATATATTGTTATTTGATTAATATAAGTCATAGAATTAATTGGAATTAATTTGGTGACTTAAAGAGATTAATTAAATAAAGGGGTATAAACTGTCAATTGTTTGATAGTTAAGCTTTAGACTATAAATCCTTATAGATATATAGTGGACGGATTCTAGAAGCTAGGATAGCTTCAAAATGGTCCATGACTTATCTAAGGAAAGGATTTGGATAGCCTTAAGAGAAGATTATCCAATTAGGGTTTAGACTGTAACCCTTAAGGAGTCTACAAGTATAAATAGACCCCATGGCTAAGGGAAATCGGCACCTCACCTAAAGTAAGAGAACCCTGGCCGATTTCCTCCCCTCTCCTCTCCCCTAAATCATCTTCCTTGCTATTGGTGTTTGTAAGCCATTAGAGGAGTGGCATTTGTGACTCTAGAAGCTCCAAGACTACAAGATCAACAAGGAATTCAAAGGTATGGTTCTAGATCTGTTTCAATGTTGTTATTTAACCTAATTAGCCATTAGAAGTCTTAGATTCAAAGCATGTTTAATTAGAAAGCCTAGATCCAAGCATTAGGGTTTTGCATGCGCACATAGGAAAGTTCTTATGGCTAAAACCCATCATATAGGAGGTAGATACTTACGATTTGAAGGCAAAGGAGGGTGTTTTCAGCCCAAAACACCTAAGTGTTCTTGATGTTCTTGAGAATCTTTGAAGATCTAGACTTAAAGATGGAATCCATGGATGAAATCAATGGTGATTCATGGATAAGAGAAGTATAATGTCACAAAGGAAGCAAATCACTTACAATTTTGAAGTTTGGAAGCAAAAACTGAAGATCCTTGGGAGAGAAATCGGGTTTCCAAGCCTTGGAAATGGAGGAAGTGAAGAAAATGGCCCGAGTTTCATACTTATAGGTTGGAGTTAACGGCCACCATGAGTTTACGACCGTAAACTCATGGGTCCTGGCCGTAAACTCCTCATTTGAGGGTTTATGGCTTGTTTGATGGTTTGGTACTTTAGTTGACACATTCAAACACTTACTCCTTTGATGTACTAGGCTTTGAATGCTCAAATAGACTCTTAAATAGTGCTAAAAGTTAGCAGAAACAAGTCTGGCTTTGATTGAGTTGAATGGTTGTACAAGATAGAAATTTCGGGTTGTCACAATGTACGATACATGTAATTATTTATTTAAAATATAATCTAATTTTTAAAGTTAAACATAACCTTAAGAGAGTGGAAACGTTTCGCAAAGCTCATACCGATAGGGATGTTGTATTGGTTACTGTTGAGGCGGTACAACAATATGTAAGTATTTAATTATAATTTTATCATATAATTAAATATTTATTTATACTCAATTGTTACTCACTTTTGGGAATTACATAATCGGTTAGTCGAAGAGCTCTTAGAACAAACCCAAGGTGAAAGTGAGTTAACCCCCACTCAAGAAAGAGCCGCTTTTGAGAAAGTACTAGGAGAGCGACGTGGCTATATCAGAGGCATCGGCCATAAACATTTTGCTCTCCCGTCGTTTTCACAGCCGTCGTAACCACCACCATAATCATTACAACCATCACAGGTAACGCAAAATTATTTAAAAATAGCAATAAAATGCATGTTGATTTGGTAATTTTAGTTTTGTGGTGATTATTTGCTAAAAGCTTTGGTAATTGGGTTTTTGTCCCAAGTGCAAGAAATAGCACTGTACTTTGGTTATTTGTCTTAGTTTAAAAATAGAAATGTAGTTTGGCATCATAAAATGTATGTTGATTTGGTCATTTTGGTTTTGTGGTGTGTATTTGCTAAAAGCTTTGGTATTTGAGTGTTTGTCCCATGTGCAAGAAATAACAATGTACTTTGGTTTTTTGTCTTAGTTTAAAAATAGCAATGTACTTTGGCGTCATAAAATGCATGTGGATTTGGTAATTGTGTTTTCGTCCCAAGTGCAATAAATAGCAATGTACTTTTGGTATATCTTGCATGTAAGTGCAAGAAATAATAAGGTTCTTTGGTAGTTTTTGTTTATGTTTGATAATTTAACTTATAATTTATATATGTTGTTATTTATTATGTAGTTGGAAAATCTTCGAGCATTGCTCAATGACCCGGTATGTAGGGAGGAGTTTTATTCGTTTTTTCAATCACAGAATAATCAAGGAGGAAATGATGGGAACGAAGAGAATGATATGTAGGGAGGAGCTTTATTTGTATGTTATACTTGTTGTCACACTTTGCTACTTGCTAAAATTGTAAAACTTGTTTTGCTACTTGTTAGAATTGTCAAACTTTTGGTTGTTTTATTTTGGTATTAAATTAATTATAACAATATTTGGTATTTAATTTGATGTTGTTCTGTAATTTTTGGTATATAATTAATTATAACAGTATTTGGAATAATTATACCCAAAATCGCTAATATAAAAAAATGAAAAACTTTATTACCGGCGACACGAGTATTACTGGCGACATTCTCTTTAGCAGCGACAGAAAGTATTACCGGCGATAGGTGCATTAGCAACGACATTTGTCTTTATCGACGACATTTTGATCAATAGCGACGAAACAGTAGCGTCGACTCTTTACCGGCGACACGTCGCCGCTATTAGCTTTAGCGGTGACATCTCAACCCTTTACTGGCGACTTTTGTTGCCGCTAATTGCTCATTTCCTTGTAGTGACGTGTCAAAGAAACATTTTAAAAAACTAACACGTGTCATTTTTATGTTTCATTTATTAGAAGAGTTAGATTAGATTAGATGTTAAATTCGTAATAACGTGTGAAATATAAACCATAGATTGAAGTAAACTTGGCATGCATATCTTTATATTCTCAATAAAATGAATATGCAAAAATAAATTAACAAAAAGAGAGGATTTTTTTAATTTAAGAATTACGTCGATGCTAAACAGGTGAAAGAACAAAATAATCATTTTATTTCATTTTTATTTCCACTTTTTGTTGGTTATATCTAACTGCTTAACTACGTGATGGTATTTTTGTAATTTAATTATCTCTGTTAGTTAGTTAGAGTGGTAGTTAGATTTGTGCTTACGTATTCAAGATCTGTATATAAGTAGATAGTATTGTTCTGTATTGATTAAGAAGATTGAATAAAATTCATTTTTCTCTCTCAATTCATCTCTCTACATTCTTGTGTTCTTGAACATTACATGGTATCAGAGTAAAAACGATATCATTTTTTTGATTTGCTGATTTCCTTTCATCTTTGATCAATCATGGTGGAATCTGAGTTGAATGATTCTACTACTATGAATTCATCAAATCCTTTTTTCATTAGTTCTTCAGATAATCCTTTTTTCATTACATGGTATGTATATATATATTATTAAAGCTATGTTTAGCGTACTAGTTGAAAAGCTAGTTGTTAACTGAAAAACTAACTGATAGCTGAAAAATTAACAGTTAAATAAAAAGCTAGTTGGTAGCTGCTGATAAAAAATAACGTTTAATAAAACTAGCTGAAAAATATAAAATGACATTTAAAATAATGTGTTTCTATAATTAATTAAGACTAAATTTAGAAAATTATAAAACAAAAAAAAAAAAAAAAACTCTTAAAAAGCTAGTCTAAGGGCTCGTTTGTTTTTTTTGAAAAAGGTCTTTTTGGGCTCTTTCATCTGCGGGCGGGTAGACATTTGTCAAATAGATTGTTTGTTTTCTGGAAGACAAAATAGCCCAAAAAGTCTTTTTCATCACTTATCCGGAAAGACCTAATAATACCCCTTCTAACCTTGGAATACATTCGTCGCCTCCATTGCCCCCATTCGATCTCCCCCCTTTCACGACTGCACTCACACCGACGATCTCTCCACAACAGCCAATTCCTCCATCGGACGGTTGTCTCGCTCTACCTCCGCCGTTCCACGCTGCTGTCGTCTCCGCCATCGGCGCATCAGGTTCCAGCTCCTCTTTATCCTTCTGCTATTTGATGAAAATGTCTAGACAGATTCATTTTCGTCCACTTTACCAAAATATTGAAGTGATGTCGTCCACAATTGCTTTATGTCTTCACATAAGTTGAAACACTCCTCACTAAAGGGCATTCGGGATAACAACATAATTTCGAAAAAGTATAACATTTTAACAGGAACCTTATTGTGGGATCTTGGTATCTTACGTCTTACCTGATTTCACATCATCAAATAATAGTTCTATGATTCTCTGCCTCAGAATCTAGATTGATACATCTCGTACAAGTCTATGTCAAAACTATTTACAACAATGAGTAAATAAATCCAAATTCTCTAGTCATTTTTTACTTGGTCATTGCTTTATAATTCTTATTGTTTCTGACACTCGCATCCAGATTAATACATTAAACTTGGAAACCTAGAAATTTTCCTTCCTTTATGTTTTAAACTCAATCTCAAAATCAATATAGGATTAATTGTTACGAATTTTGAGAAACTCTGAAAACCCATTTGATTTCTGATTGCAATAATAGGAGGGATATGAACTTGGTGTTGAATTTCATAGGTAGACCATATATTTTTAAGATTGAAAATTAGTATACATATTTGACATAAGTAGAGTACCTTTTAGTATATGAATGATGTTCTGATCAGAATAACATCAATTCTCATAACAATGAGACTTGACTGCATTAGAATGTTGTACTCTATGCTTGAAAATGAGTATTTTTGATGTCATCAAAGCATGCATTGTCAATGTTGTTGATTTTGTTACATGCTTCTAGTGTAGTGCTTTGATTTAATTTTATTTCTTGATCAACATCATGTTATTTGTCATCAACTTTAGATTCATTTGAATCGAATGTTTCTATTTTATGTTGTTTGTGTTGTAATCCATAGATATCAATCATGAAGTTTTTTATTTTTAGTTTTTTAACTCAGTTCTTTCATGGACTTAATTTATAAAGTTATTATATATAGCTTGTCTAAATGGGAGACAAACTACAATGGTCGAACGAGCAAGTAAAATGTTTATTAGATACGTGTATCGAAGAGGTCAACAGAATTGGTAGAAAAGGAGGTAGCATGCACAAGGAGTCTTGGGTTACGTTAGGGAAAGCTCTAAAAGAAAAGTTTGACATGGATACTTCACAAAAACAATTGAAAAATGCTTTTGATAATCTAAAAGATAAATACGTAGGGTGGAAATATTTGAGAAACAAGTCATGGAATTTATACAATGCTCAAACAAATTCATTTGCCTTGGTGAACACAGAATGGGAAGAATTCAAGAAGGTGTGTCTATATAATTTAATTTTTTTAGTTTATGTCAATTTTAATAACGATGTCAAAATACTTATAATTACTATTAATCCTGGTTTAGGGTCATCCAAAGGCAGGATCATTGAGGACACACCCATTGCCTTATCCCAACCTTTGTGCATCTTTGTTTGATGGAAGTAGTGCCAGCGGTAGCATCAAATGGACCTCTACTCAAACTACACCCGCAGATACATCATCTTCTTCTCATCGTGTCCAAAGACTTCTGATTGATGACAACCCTTTTAATGGCCTAGAAGATGATGATGATGATGACGCTTCCAATGACACTAGTGCTCGAGCTCCTAGTGATAAAGCTCATGGTGGTTCTACTGAGAGGCCTGATAAAAGGAGTAAAACCACTGATGCTTCTATTGAGAGGCCTGATAAAAGGAGTAAAACCACTAATGCTTCTACTGAGAGGCCCGATAAAAGGGCTAAAACCAGTGATGCTTCTACTGATAGGACCGATAGGACCGATATGGATAAAGCCTCTAAAAACTCTGTTAGTCTTGATGATTTGAGTCTTGATATGCAAAAAGCTCTGCAACATATGGTGAATAGCAAGGAAGGACCAACAGTAGAAGAGTGTTATGAGACGTTGAAGCTAGTTGAATTAGACCCAATGGATCCTATATTTTTGGCAGCCTTTCACCTTTTTGGAATGTCCATGAATATGAGAGAGGCATGGATGACATTTCCACCGATACCTGGGGTCTTAAAAGGGTGGATAAAGATGATTGGCACCACATTAGGGATGTTTAAGTACTCTTTATGCTTATGTTTTTTCTTTCATTTTGAACAATTATGTGTTTCTTGAACTTATGTTTGACATTATGTTTTTTTGCTATCATTTGAATGATTGTGTACTTATTTGACACAAATATTGCTAGTATTGGGATTATATACTTATTTGAAACAAAATGTATGCTTTGAATATGATACAAATGTTTATGTTTTTTGATTTAACATATTAGGGTTTAACAAGTGTTGATGGTTTAACAGGTTCACAATGGATTACGATAAAAAGTTGCACCTCCTAATTGTTATGTATTTGTATCTTCGCTTTTTTTGGAGAAGAGGTTTGAAAAGAATGCGATATAATACCTCAAAAACTTCTGGGCATCAATTCACATTAGAGTTATTACAAGGAACTAATAATCAATGCATTGAACTCTTACGTATGTCACGTGATTCTTATGTTCGGCTTTGCACACATTTTAGAGTAAAAAGTTGGTTAAAGGATAGTAAACATATATCGGTTGAAGAGAAAATGGCGATGTTTTTGATGATGATTGGTCACAATCAACGTTATGTAATCATCAAACGTAGATTTCAACACTCAAAACAAACGATTCATAAGTATTTTTATGAAGTATTGGATAAAATGATGGTGTTTGCAAAAGATATAATAGTACCAACTTCCTTCAATCCAAATCCAAACATCCCGGGACATAATAGGAGGTTACGAAGGATTTTCAGAGGAGCGGTTGGTGCGCTTGATGGAACTTTGGTACATGCTATTGTCCCTCTCGACAAACAACATTTGTATAGAGGAAGGGGAAAAGGCGACTGCTATCAAAATGTATTGGCAATATGCGACTTCAATATGATTTTTACATTTGTCGTGGCTGGATGGGAAGGGACAACACATGATTCAAGAATATTATCTGAAGCTTTAACAGATCGAGATGCACCATTTCCATTTCCACCACCAGGTTTGTTTACATTTTCAATTTAATATTTCTACTTTTTTTTTTAAATTAATTATTTCCTTATATTTACAGATAAGTATTACCTTTGTGATGCTGCGTATACACACACTCGAGGATTTATGGCTCCTTATCGTAATGTGCGGTATTGGCTTGGAGATTTTCATCGAAGACGTGCATTAACCAACAAAGAAAAATTTAATCACTCACATGCAAAACTTCGAAATGTCGTTGAACGTGCTTTTGGTCTCTTGAAAGCACGTTTCCCTATATTGAAGAGAATGGCTCCATTTCCATTGGTTACACAAAGAAACATCGTCATTGCATGTTTTGCGCTTCATAATTATATAATAAAAGAGGGATTAAGTGATGAGTATTTTTCTCAATATAATCAAGTCGATATATCACTTCAAAGCAACAATGTACAAGATGATGATGATGATGATGAGGATGACGTGGATGAGGTACAACCACACGGAAGTGCAAGAGACCGGGAATATATGGTTCATCTACGAGATCAAATTGCTGACCAGTTAATGCGTGTAGAATGAATGATTTCATAAAAATATGTTAGTTTTGTGAATTTAGTTTTAATATTGTAAGACAATCATCAAAACAATCCTTTATGTTTTTAAAAAAATCAACTTTAATAAGTAAGCGGCCTTCCGGTTTGAGTCGAAATATATATAGTTTATCTAATGTTTTAAAAAATATTATATGTTTGAAACTGTATGAAATTTTTATTGGCAAAGTTTGAGTCAAATATTAGCAAAGTTTAAGTCAAATATAAATTTTAATATATTAGTAATGTATGAGATGCTGAGTTTTTAGCATTTGAGCTTTGTTTGTTTCAACATTAATTTCAAAGATTGGTTTTGTTTTTGAACAATGAAAATTAATGCAAATTGGGTGGCAACGTGTAAGTATACAATTCTTATTAAGAAAAAATCTAATGTGTATTTTTACGTTGCTTTTTTATATTATCTAATATTTTCTTACAAAATACTATAAATCTATTAAATTGTTCGTAAATATTATTAAATGGATAGGTTTTTCAATTTATTAAAAACCAACGTGAATTATTCGTATTTTAATATGAGAAAAAATATGGTTAATTAATCTCCTTTTTTACAAGATCTCTTAAGTTTTAGTTCATTCTAATTAAAAAACAAACAATCTTTTTGCATTAAGACTTTTTGTATTAATACATAAAAAAAGACTTTTAGTCCACGTCTTCTTCCGCAGACATGGAAAAAGACAAAAGACATTTGACCACTTCCAAAACAAACACCACCTAAGTAGCTTTTTAAAAAGCTAGCTTCTAAACTACTTTTTGGCTTGCCAAACATGGCAACTTAAAAAAACTCGAAAATAAGCTAGTTGTGGCGTGCCAAAAACAGTCTGAAACATGTATAAATACATTTTTCATATGTATTATTAAATACATGCATAAAACCTTTTTAAAAATTTCTCTTTTCATTTAAACGCATTTATATGTATTATTAAATATATGTATAAAACTTTTAAATGAAAAAAGAAATTCAAAATCGTTTTAAGGTATAAAATATATAAATACATATAAAATACGTGTGTGTTTCAATATATATATATATATATATATATATATATATATATATATATATATATATAACGTTCCCCAATATACAACATACCATACGGGCCTCGCCCAACACAATAACAGGTCTTGCCTACCATACATAAAAGGTCTTGCCTACCATATATATAACATTCCCCAATTTCCTTTTCATCACCAACCCTCAAGGTGAGCTTAGACTCCCGAATATCAACAAGAGCTCCAACAGTGTTTAGTAACGGGCGACCAAGAATAATTGGAACATTGAGATCTTCTTTCATATCTAATACCGCAAAGTCTATTGGAAAAACAAATTTCCCAATTTTTACTAAAATATCTTCCATAATGCCCCGAGGTTGTGTTACTGAACGGTTCGCCATGTGAATAGTCATCTTTGTAGCCTTCAACTTCTGAATATTTAATTTTTGATAAAACGAGTATGGCATCAAATTTATGCTAGCCCCAGAATCGGCTAAAGCATAAACATTCATATTATTCCCGAACTCACATGGGAGAGTGAGTCGTCCAGGATCCCCCATCTTCTTAGGTATTTCTCCCAACACAGCTTTTAAGCTTTGCTCACCTAGGATCACCTTAGAATTCTCCTTTAATTGCTAACAAGTGTCTAATAAATCTTGTAAGAACTTAGCATATTCTGGAATTTTTGCAAGTGAATCAATAAAAGGAGTATTGATAGGAATACCCTTCAATTGCTTGATAAACTCCAGATGTTCTCTCTCCAGTGGACTGAGATTAACTCTAGACGGGGATGACAAATGTGGTTCATAAGTTGGAACAAACACATAATTCTTCTTTTCAAACTGAGCCCACGACGTGAGCATAGCGGGCTCACGACGCGAACTGGGTGTTCCAACAGCTTCTTCAATTTTGAGCTTTGGTTTCTTTGGCTTTGGATCGGGCTGTTGTGACTCCACTTCTAAGGCTTCTAGGAACTCAGAAAATGCCTCTTCTTCAATATCTATGGCCATCACATGAGATTGGGTTTTGTTTTCAGGATTTTTCGGGAACATCTTCTCATTAACCAAAGTGGTAAGTTAACCAAGATGTACTTCAAGGTTATTGATGGAGGCTTGCTGATTCTTTATTAATGCTTGCTGATCTATCATGATTGCATGATGATTCTTCATTATACTTCTTTGTTCTTCCATTGCAGTGTCAGTAACATCATGTCTTTTTTCTGAAGCTTCCATGAATTTCATCAACATGGTCTCTAATTCTGATTTCTTCTCAACTAGTGGTTGCTCTCTTTGGTAAAAGCCCCGACCAGTTTGCCTAAATTTTTCATCTTTTTGCTTCTTGTATTCTTCGTAAGGCAGCCACTCGTTCTTTGATTTTCTCCAATCTTCTTCATACTTGTCCCCACTCGGGTAGCATACTTAGGCTTTCTTGTTTCCATATTCATCCATATTGCAATCCTTTGTCAAGTGTGGGCCACTACATTTCTCGCAACCAACTCGAATTGCATGAATTGATTGGTCCAATTGAGTCAATCTTCTATCCATAGTGCTAAGCATTGCCATCACAGCAACCATCTCTTCAATTTGTGTACCTCCACTGCCTTTTATTCCATCACGCCCTGGGTTGTGATACTCACGAGAGTGCCTTGAAAACTCTTCAATCAACTCCTTGGCCTGATTTCGGTTCTTCTTCGTTACTGGTCCTTGCGAATCAAGGAGTTGTCTAGTCATGACATTCACCCCATCATAGAATATCGACATCTCCTGCTGAATATTGAGGTCATGTTGAGGATAATTCCTTAACAACCCCTTGTAACGTTCCTAGGCCTCGTATAATGACTCCCCCGGATTTTGCTCAAAGTTGACAATTGCCTTCTTGAGTTTAGAGATTTTGGAGGGTGGACAAAACTGATCTAGAAATCTCTCACGCAACTGGGCCCATGTAGTGATTGTACCAGGTGGGAGTGCATTCAACCAGTATTTTGCTGCTCCCTTGAAAGTGACTGGTAGCATCCTTAGCAAAGCTGTCTCCCTTGGGATATTAGGAGTATTAAAATAATACGCAATATCATTCACCTCGTCTAAGTGTTTGAAAGCATCCTCATGATCCTTCCCGTAAAATGGGATATCCTTAAGTGCAGCAAGGATATGTCCCTTCAACTCGAATGTGGCATTGGCAGGAATCGTAGGATGTACTAAACCCGGCCCCACATCATCTCGAATGCGCTTCTTGTAGTCCCCCATGGCCATCTAATCAATGTTTGCCATCTCGTTCTCCAACTCGTTCTCGGGCTCACTTACATGTAATTCAAATTCAGGCTCAGTATCGTACTCGGACTCGGCTTGGACAAGTATTTGATCTAAGTGTTCAAGCTTGCTCTTGTTCCTTGAACACGAACTTGACTCCTCCGTTTTCTTCCCTGACTTCTTTAAGAACACTGATTTTAATTCTTGCAAAGGTGTCTTCTTTGGTGTTTGATCTTCTTTCACGTTCTTATCCTTTTTTTTGTGAAGTGTAGACTCGGGATCTTCAAGT